AAAGTGAGGTGATATGTGATTTAAGTAATTACAATCCTATCTAACAAGTAGTAAATTCAGAATATAAAGTGACAGCTGGAGTATTATATCAATATAAAAATTAGCAAACCATATAATGACTAAAAATGAGGAAATAAACTTTAGTTCAAATAATTTCTGAACATAACCTGTCTACCCTCTAAAGTAAACCTACTTTTGAACAGATATATATGTAGTATTATATAGTAGTACATAAAGTATATATATTACAGTGTATGTGTGTGCATGTGTATGAAGTATACAGTAGTATATAAAGCAGAAACCTACCAGAATGAAAAAAACCCATTTCACTGAAGGATTACATTAAAATTTTTAATTTATATGAAGGAATAAAGAAGGAAGATCCGAATCAAAACCAAACTGAATTTTCCAAACTCAGGTCCCTTCAATTTTTGTCCCCATTGTTTCCTCACTTAGTGTATTTACATGATTTCCTGTCAGGGCAGCATGAATAAAGTCACAAATTTATTTCCAACTTGCTCTGCAAACTGGACTTTTCATAATGCACTATCTTTCAGCATGTTAATTGACTTTGAACTGTGTCAAGTGCAAGCCACAAAAATGGAATGTATTGCCTTGGAAGGGTCTGTGTATTTAATTAGCCTGTTGGAGGAGATATCTTTACCTCAACTCTGAAGCCTTCTGCAAAAAAGGGGGCAACTCTTAGAGTTGTCACAGACACACAGAAACAGACTTGTGACTCACTCAGCTGGCTGCATGTTGAATGCGACCTGCCTTGGGCTTGATGTAGACCTCCAAGCAAGCTCTGTGCCTCTACAGTTTAGTATCAAAGACACTTCCACCGAGGTAAAAGTTGGCAGATATACAGTCTTCAGATACACAGACGTCATACTGAGCAGCTCCAACAGTCCCTCCCAGATAACTGATAAGTAGATTCTTCAGAGAATTCTAATTTGGTGTTATTTCCAACAATAGCTCCCCAACACGTCCTACCAAATAGGAGTAGCTCTACAAATGATTGTTGAATTGAATCAAGCAGAGAGTTTAAGTAGCTATAGAGTGGAAGTCTGTTTCTCCCATGGGAGCTGTTGGCACTATAGAGGCTTTTCTGAAATGTGCTTTATAGAGTCTGGTAGAAAACACAGGTTTTCCAAAAGCCCCTAGTCTGTAAATGTATCCACCCAATAAAAGTTAATTTTATTTACTGTAGTACACATATGCACCTGGTTGAGGTGCTCCTTTCTTATTTTGGAAAGAGAAGATACTTAATTATACTGTTGTCCAGAAATCCAATATAACTTTAAAGTTTATTAATTTGAAGAACTATAATTTCCGAAAATCTGACAAATTTGAACATTAATACTAAACCTTAATATTGAAACTTAATATTGAAACTACTTAAAGCATGACTAAGAATTAGTAAAATTTATGAGAAAAAACTGTGATGATCTGTGCTGTTCTGTGAGTCATTAAAATTACTTATTCAACATTTCAAAGTCAATTTCTTTTTTACCTGATGAAACAATATGAATGGACAGAAAATAATCTATGTCTGACTGAGAAAGTAGATAATACTGCTAACTCCCCTGCAATGTGCACAGCAACTGTATAAATGGCTCTTTATTCTGCCTTTCCAGAATAGTTTAATTTAGGGTCAGGTAAGAAGAAAGAGGTCATCAGAATTGTAAAAATTTTGTTATCATGAAAGAAATCATTTTAGCTTTGGCTTAACCACATACATAGTCATGCTCCAATGAAAACATCTGCCTGTCACCCCATAAACGTCCCTACACTTTTCTTCCCTTTATGAGCAAAAAATGGAGCTTTAAGAGACATTTAATAGCCAGCAGATGTTTGGCTGACAAATATTGCATCTGGAGGGGAGCATACTGTTCACATGGAAAAAAAGAAACTATTATTTAATTTTCTTAAAGAACACCATTATGCGAAGTATTTTTGCATAATGACATTTGAATGCTTTGAATATGGGGAAAGACACAGGAACTCCTTAAATGCATCTTAAACCAGTATATTATTCCCAGAAGGCTGAATAACTGAGATTGCCTAATACATAGGTTGAATGAATGCTAACAGTGAGTTTAATGCCAGGTAAAAGGGGCATTTCATGAGAATTTAACACTAATATTAATCCTCTAAGAGTACTTCTACTTTGGTCTATAATGAATAATAATAAGTTTCCATGCTAGGTAATGACTTTAATATTCTGAACACACCATTCATTTAAAAAAATACATTCCTCAAAATAAACGTTAGGATGGGGAAACGTGCTTTAGAAAAAATAAAACGAGAGGCTGGCACTAAAATTAATAGTTCAAAACAAGGATGACCTGAGCTTCATAATATGTTGAGTGGGGCTGCCTTTTAAAGAGTATGTTGTAGATTATGTTAAAGGAGAATTTTAAAACTGTTAAACATTGTGTGTCCTTTGATAATCCCTCTCTGGTATCAAAGTTGTTCCCTTCATTACTTTTACTTTGAAAAGAAGCTTGGTGTGACAACCATGATATTAATACATAATGCTTAAAGAGATGGCACAGTTTACCACAGCAGAACCTCAGATGGTTCTACCTGGAAGGAGTTAGTTCTGGAACAAAAGAGGGAAAGGTGGCAACACTCACTACTGTGCTTCTGCCCTGTTGCCTCTCATCTTTTTCTTCTTTCTTTCTCACCTCCCTGAGACAAAGACATGGGCTTGCAGCTTCTGCCACATCCATTCCCTCTGCTTTTGTGCCCCAGGCACATACACCTTAAAGGTGAACCTACACACCATCTCCTGAGCATTTCAAATTACTGTTAAAGGACCTACCTCTCTCTCCCTCAAAAATTCAGATTTTTTTTATTACAGTAGAAAAAAATGTTACCTATAAAGTTATCTGTAATTCTCATTGTTGGTAAATGGAGAGAATCTAAACCTTAATATGCATTTCTGAAGAGAGGAGGTAACAGAATGTGGTTCAGGAGCTTACAGAGTCTTTATTATTTTTTCCCACATGGAATAAAATGGTGTGAAGGTGAGGGTGAGGGTATCCCTACCTCTCTGAGATGGTTCTACTGAAGGAGATGCTAAGAATATATGTATGTATCTTCAAACACAGAAACAATAGGTCTCCCTTCCTTCCTTCCTTCCTTCTTTCCTTCCTTCCTTCCTTCTTTCCTTCCTTCCTTCCTTCCTTCCTTCCTTCCTTCCTTCTCATTCCCTTCCTCTCTTACTTTCCCTTCTCTTTCATTCTTTCCTTTGTTAACTGGTAAAATTTGCCAAATAGGGACCTCAGCTGCCAAAGGACAACAGGGTATCATCTTTCCTAAAAATTGTTTAGTGTCATGTGCTGTGTTTTATGCTTCTATAATATCTATAGTGTCTTAGAAATTGTCAGTGTAACTGGTTAATCTTCAGACTGCTCCTGTGATGTGCATGTGTATTTTACTTACATTTTATAAAAATGTATATGAAATAGATCAATGCTTATTGTAGACTTACTGTTAAAGTGGTTGTTGTAGGCTGAGGTCTTTTCAGTAAGGTAGATAAGATTTTATCAAGGAAATGACTTTTACACAAAAGACAGTTATAGTATAATAAAGAGCAGTATCTAATGAAATGCTAAGTTTATACAACTAAAAGCTAAAGTGCTTGTTGTACATCCTGAATGTCACTGGTTGAGAGGAAAGGGAGAAATCAACATGTCTATATTCAAGCTTCTAGTCTTCTGCTCTGCCAATTTTAAACACAAGTTGCCAGGTTAGCCTATTGTCAATCCCCTGTTCAAATTTTCAATGGCTCCCTTTGATGATCTTCATATCAGAAGTACACGTGTCCCTTTTAGTGAAAAGTTTTCACAGACAAAGAACCCTGAAAATACGTCCCCAGACCCCAGGTTTAGAGAACCGTAGTTTGAGAAACACTGACTTAAGAACTTGAGTCTTATTATTTCTTTAAATTATCTTTCCCTTGAAAAAAGTTTTGTCTTTATAGACACTAACATTGGCCTATAGAATAAATTCTCAGCTATTTAGACTCTTGCTCAAGATGTGTTTCATATTGTGTGCCAGATGTGGAAGCCAAACTGAACTGCTCACTGGTCCTAACACAAGTCTTCAACTTGCATAGCACTACTTTTTTTGTACACATTCTGCTGTCAGCAGGGAATACTCTTTCCTTCTCTCCCCTATGCCACACCCCCAGCACTCGTCATTTTCTTTTTGCCAGAAATTAGGTCAAACAATTCCTTCTTCATGCATCTCTTCATGCTCACAACTAGGAATCTCACCTTCCTGTGATTGCTCAGAATAGTTTGTGCTTTTTTTTGAGGCAAAACACTCGACATATATTAACTTAGGTGTGTGGCTTTTCACTTCTGAACTGCAAGCAGCTAGAGGATAGGGCCTGTATCTGATTCATCTTCTGCAAGCAGCTAGCACTGTATCTTGTACATAAAAGGTGCAAAATAAGCAGTCTAAGAAATAACTATTATGAGTCAATGAATAGAGTGATGCTTGAGAAGTTCATAAAAGGCTGATAGAATGTGGGAAGTGATTGAGGAAAGGCTTTTTTTCTTTTTGATAAAGAACTTAGTAAATTTTTCACCCTGTACCTGAGCTAAGGATTTAATAACTCAGGAGAGAAAATATAGCTACCTGTTCACCAGATTAACTAGAGTTGTTTTCTAGGGGAAAATCTGTGCTACTCAAGAGAAATTATCTCAGGGTCCAAATTGGCCAAAAGAAATGCACCAAATCCTTTAAAAAAATACCAAATAACTTCCATAACCTACCACCATTCTTGCCTCTTGGATAGCAATGAACAAAAATGCATTCAAATAGTTCATGCTGTTATCCACCATCTTCTTCTTATCTGTTCTATACAGTTCTATCCTGATAGGTTCTCGTCTACTCTTAATAGACTCATTATCTTTGAAGGCAGATGTACTCCAATTAGAATAATACTGTCAGAGGCATACATCGTCTAAATAAAATGTTATTACCTTTCAGAATCTTCTGGCTGATCGGTGAACATTACCAGTTTCTCTTCCTGTTTATCAATTTTGCTTAAGAGTCGTCCACATGGGATCTAAAAGGAAAACATGGAAAGGCATGAGGCTTGAATGTGTCTCAAGGGAAGACAACTGTCAGCAACTGCAGGAGAAAACCACCTGTTACATGTATTTTTCACTAAGAGCCATGTTTTTATTCTCGTGTCTTGTTTTCAGCACTGCCACTTATGAGAAGACAGACCACACATTTGCCTGTTGCCTAGTTTCAAAGGTAAAACGGGGGTGTAAACATAAAGTCTTAGCCTTTCAGTTAAGAAAGAGTCCTTACAACAGGGAGAAATTGTCCAGGAGCAAGTAAAAGAAAGCTGGACATTCCAACATACAAGTCATAAACCGTTAATGTTGTCAGACTGACATGTTTGTAGTTCAATGCGCCACAGTCCAGGAATACGTTTTCCAGGAGAGCCTAATGACCTAAGGACATCAAGAGCCTTTTTCTCAGGAAGCCATTCATTCGAGCTTTTCCTCCAACAGGAGTTAGTGATTATTTCTATGATGGTCAAGATAACAAAGGAACTGGTAATGTGACCTCTAAAGGAAAAAGAGGAACAAAATCCCAAACTGTAAGACACAGAATTTTTTCATTTCCAATTTTTTTCTATTTAATATTAATTGCAGTATGAGCACCAAACTGTGATCAAACATTCCACAGACATCATAGTACCTCATGGGGCTTATAGCAGATTCTTGAGACTGAAGCATTTGAAGACGTGCATGTTCAAAAAGTCAATTCCTGCAGGCACTTAGCACATTTTAAATGCATCTGGAAACCACTAACATCGCATTATGAAATTTAGGCAGTTCAGGTCTGTGGGAAACATGAAGCCAGCCTGTCTGATATTTATGAGTTTCTGTTTAATTATAACAACAATGAAGAAAAAGTTTGTTTGTTAAAACTCTCCAAGAAAGATTTGTTTCAGCTATTGGCAAGCAGTCTGTACCTAATGTGGGAGGGTGGCTTTTTTATTTTGTTTTGTTTTCAGCTTGTGACAGCTGTTTAAAAGTCATCTGTTACCACCATGGTAGCCAGTTACTAGATGAAAGCAAATGTCGTACATGACTGTTAGAGTAATTGGACCACCAACTAGTACTTTTAACTATGCAAAATTGCAAAAACAGTTCTTTATGTGGCACTCTGGAAGTATTACACAATTCTGCAAATTTCTTGCAAGTATTTCAATTCTTTCATTGAAGAGACAGGCAAAGGAGGTGTTACCTGACAGAGTAATTTGCAGTAATTGCCTATATTGTAATTTCTGGAAGATGAGGTTTTAAAATTTTAATTAATTAATTTGTACAAAGGTTTTTAAGAAAGATCTTCAATGGTTTCATTAGTCCTAAAAATTACTTTTAAAAAATGCAAATTTCCCAGCAGACCTGAAATGATGGAGTCCTGGAATATCAGAAGATCATAGAATTTAGGACCTTGGAGAATACTCTGAGAAATATGACACCATCATTTTACAGGAGAGGAAACAGAAGCCCCATGAGTAGAAGTGATTTGACCGATTAATGGCTGATCTAGGATTAGATGTCAAGTCATTTGACTCATATTCCGTGATTTTCTACTGTTGTTTCCTAATTGAATATTATACAGATGACATTTCAAGTTTGAACTAAGGTAAGATCTAATTTTAATAATAAAGTACTCAAGTACCTTAGTAAGATCTTACCTTTGCAATTTTGCATAGTTAAAAGTACTTTTAAAGTACTTTATTTTTACATTATAAATTTTACATTATATATGAAACCTCATAAAAATATATTTGTCAGGCAATGACATTGTATTATTTGAACTCTGGTGGTAAACAACCCTCAAAACACCATGTGGAGAGAGAAATTTCTAGACCTAAAGTTTTATACTTAAGATTCACAGATAATACCTCTGAGGCACTGGAAACAGACGTGACAGGTGTTATCTCAAAGGTATTAGTTACCGAACATTTTATTTCCTTTCTGAGTAGAATTTTTATAGGCTGGAATTTTATACTTATAATTATTCTACCCAGGAATTCAAAATATCAACTAGTGATAGTCAGGAAAAGTCAATATCTCAGGCATAATTATAATTTCCAGTGGTTTATCCACTTCCACCAATAGAAGTATTTTTCCAAGGGAACAGAAATGGAGAAGACAGTCAGAAAAGGACAGGTAGTCACAGGGCTCCTCTTTGAAGTCCAAGCAAATACAATCAAGGCAACTGTGAGGAATCAGGGTTGACACTTTCTCAATACTGGTGCCTTATTTTTTTAATTGTAGAGAAAATCAAAATCATCAGAAGTCTCATCACACTTAGTAAACATCTGAGTGCCTCTCTGAACTTGATCTCCACTCATTACAAGGCAGGGTGACACTGAACCATAAAATTAGGAATTCTGCTAAAGTTCCCTCTCCCACAGTTTTTCGTTGATGAAAAGCACATAACCAACCTGAAAGGGAGGGCATGGACTCCCTGAGTCCTTATTGGCTGGTGTGGAGACACTAATCCAGGCAGGAGAAAAATACCCGATACAACAAAATACCTGATACAACAAACCGGGCAACACCGTGCACACCTCCCCGTTCCAGCAGCGCGCGGCAGTCACCTCGCACTATCGCTCACCGATTTCTTGTAAAATGTGCGATTCAGACATTTCTACTTTGCTGAACGTTTTAAATATTTGAAACAGATCTTGCATGGGACAACTGAGTTAGACATAGAACATGGTGGACTTTCGTGAGAGCAAATTGTACTGGAATAACAAACAGTAGAAAGAGAAAGAAAAAAGATGATACCTGACCTCTTACCCTTTGCCCAAAGTGAATTTCTCAGCTATTCCATCCTGAAATACTGACAATACAACTGGTCCAGTTTTTACTGCTTGATTGCGGTGTCTGCCTTTTATATAAATATATATATTTAGTTTTCAGGTAAAAGTCAAAAGATCTTTCCTTTCTCTCTTGTCTGTGACACGTGTCCTCTACCCTGCAGGGCCACGCAAGGCACCATGATTTTTCCCCAGCTATGTTCGTGTGCATTCCATGAGACACAGGACCCCTGTATGCTATCGTTGCTGATAGGAGGTGTGATCACAATGTAACTACTCTGTGCCTACAAAGCTACTATGAATTAAGGACTGAGATCCCTCTTCTGAAATTGTTTCTAGAATCTATGCCACATTCTACTGAAAATTTTTGGGAAAGGCCTAAATTGTCAGTTTAAAGTTTGGTAAGTAAGGTAGAGAAAATAAAGCTAAGTAATATCAGTGATTTAAAATATAGTGTGAAAATAATAGAGCTGGCTTCCTTCCCTTGTTTGTAAACTTTTTAAACCTTTTTCTTTGCATCTACAGAAGCTGAGCTGCATAGTAATTAAGGGCAGCCTCAGAAACAAAACTTCCCAGGTACAGTCCCTGCTACCCTAGGGACTCTTTAACTGGGAGATCAAAATTACATTTTTGTGCCTGTTTCCTTTTTTTGTAAAATTGGAATAATACTAGTACCTGCCTCATTAGGGCTGCAATGAAGCTTAAACATGTTGATGTGTATGAAATGCATAAAGTAGTGACTGAAATGTAGTTAGTACACTATAATTGTTCATGGACACCATTTTTATGGAGTCCTAGGAGGGCGGAGATAAATAGTTGTGGTTTCTTCTCTATCTTGACCCATGGTGGGCCCTGGGTGCACTCATTTTGAGAAAGCTAGGTGTATGTGGTGTTGGTATAAATGATTACCTCCAAGGCACTTTTAGACTCTAAAATTCTTGACAAGTAAAGAAATAGGCACTTACCATCAAAGAATTCGTCTACCTGTTGAGGAAAATAGGATATCAAGCCCTAGAGGCCCAAATCCAGGTGTTTCTAATTTTCATATCTCCAGTATCTCGCATGGCACCTAGTTCACAATGAGGACCAAATATTTTAACAATAGAAGAATGGAGGAATGATACCTAACTGTACAAGAGGAAAGACAGGAAAGACATTAAAATGAAAACTAAGTGGTATTGCCAATTAAGAGTTTGAGGATAACAGGACTTACTATGGCCAAGAGCGACTGCTCAGGTGTTTTACTGACTAATTTATAGTGTTTCACTTTTGCCCTTTTTTTATATCAAGGAAAGTTGAAACCAAGAGGGTTTAACAATTACTTAAAGTTTAATAATCTTGTTTTCTTGGAGAGGTGGGGAACTAGACCACATCTAATTTCTGGGAACCAAAAGATTTCCAATTAATGACCACAGAAGTTAGAGTACCTAAGTGGCTGACAGCATCCTCTAAACTAAAAACAAACACATTTATTTGTTCCCATCATTCGGTTACTTTCTTCTTCCTCTTCATCTCCTCCTCCACTTCCTCCTCTCTTTAAGGGGGTTCTTACTGCTTAAGAAGCAGCTGTGGCTTTCTGTTTAACTTAACCAAAAGATATCCTGGATTCTTGGATGGATTTCAGTACATCAGTGAAGATCATAAGCTGTTTGATTGTTTAAGCAGAAGTTTACATAATCCACGGTTCCAAAATAACCCAGCTTTAGAGTATAAACTTACTTTTGGAAGTAAACCAAGTTTTATGAGCTTTTCACCATTTGTGGTGACAGATTTTAATACACTTGGATTTCTAATGTTAGGTTCAAGGGCTAGAGTGTGAGTATTACCAGTCATAGTCAACTCTGTAAAAATAGGTTTTGCAGACATTGAAAATGTGATGTTAAAAATTGCTAAAGTATTCTTCTACCATTGCATACATTTGTTGTTTCAAGTCTATGCTATATAGCATTGAAATGTATCAAAATACATGTGTAATCAAAGGCATGAAAGTTTACTCAGGAAAGAAGGAACCTAAGGCTGACGAGTGATTTTTGTCTATATAAAATACTCTTCCCTCTGGGGCATACAATTTAGAACTCATAATACTTATGTAGAAATTCTGTTTCATTCCAGCATCTACCTTTACTAAACTCAAAACCAAATGTTGACCAGATTCAATAGACTTAGGATGCAATGTCCCAGGGAAGTACTAAACCATCATGAAAATTATT